TTTTCCCATCGTCTTTGGGACGACGCACAGACCACTCTCCTCTCCTTTTGATTCTCTTCGTCCACTATTTACACTTATACCTGGTGGACACTCGGTTAATACACGACCTTAGGCATGAATAATTGCCTGATTGTTGCCTATTATACCGTTTTTGCGCATTCACTGTCCAATGTCTATCATTTTTGTCCGTCATCTAAGGCGTAATAAGAAGAAAATGCCCAGTGTCTGGTGTGTGCTTGGGGGCTATGCGACAGAGTATTCCAGCTTTTGATCCATGTCATGTGTCGAGACTGAATTACCACAACCATTGGGAAGTAGCTTGCGTCCATTCTTCGTTATTCGCGCTATTCTAAATAGTTTCTCTAATCATTTCCATCTTTGCATGGGTTAGTCATGTCTCTTGACGACGCATCACCGCTTGCAGTCTCTCCTTGCCGCAATACTCATCAATACCGGTTGGAGCTGTCGTCACTCCGGTTATCGGAGTGTCGGTGTTCGTGACCTGATACTTTGCCTGCTGCCTACTTGCTATCTCCACTCACTGCTCCTCTTATGACATGTTCGTCCCAACTTTGATACATCGTGCAGCCTTACGTTAGTCACGTTCAGCCCTAAAACCAGGTACCCGTTAGGGTTCTCGTTCAACAGCTGTCAAACACCTCCTTGGCGCAGCGTGAGATGTGTTTCATCCGTCCCAGAATGGATATTCCATCTAACATTCTCTTCTCATTCGCTCTCCAGTTGAAAGTTCTGACGATAATACACACCGTGCGCAAGGTTGGCAAACTAGCTGTGCCGGAAAAACCTAACTACCGTTCTTAATCTTCCATTACCGTGACCTGTCCGAGTTACTACAGCAACTACATTCTCTTGATCGACTTGGAATTCGACCAAGAACTTATCTCAGAGCAAGGTTAAACCATCTCACAAATTTAGCCAACCATCAACTATCGGCATCGTCACTTGACCTTCTGTGACCACAAGAAGTTGCCGCGATGTATCAGTACAACAATCCCATTCCCAACCACGTGTTGTGGCCGGGATGGGTCGATCCGCACGCTACCCTCATGGCTGAGCCCACAGGCATGCAGTTGTGTCCTTACCAAGCCAGCGAGGAAGATCTTGACAAGAAGGGAAAGAGTAAGCAGCCCCAACTTATCTCTCTCACTCGCTGCCGCTCAACGCAGTAACAAAGAAAAAAAAAAAAAAAAAATCAAGACTAACAACCCTCACCAGGATCACCTCCGGACTCCATCGCCTTCATCGCCTCCAACGGCATCGGCGTCCCGCGGCGCATCGGCCTCGCCCTCGCCGCCGCCGCCGCCGACCCCTATGCCTGTCTCACCAGCCCCCTCATTCGTCCTGCCTACCCTCGCTTAGCCCCCCTCGACCTGCCCGACTTTTTGCTCCGCGACCACCACCACCACCTGCGTCTCCCCGCGTCCGAGACCACCGAGTCCTGGGACATGGTCGTCATCGGCCCTGTCTCCTCCGGCTTCTGCTACGCCATGGGCTGGCTCGAGCGCATCGAGGGTCCCGACGCCATCAGGGCTTGGTTCCGCAAGCGCATGGGCCATCGGTACTTCAGCTGGAGCGCATGGCAGGAGGCTCCCATTTTGGACGGCAGGGCGACGTATGAGATTGAGGCAAGTGTTGCTGGGATGCGGTACATTGTCTTGTTGTGCGGAAATCGCGAGACGGCGTTGGCGGCCGAGAGAATGTTTCGGTATACGGATTTGACGGTGGGCGTGAAGGACCCGAAGTGTCCGTGGGGCGGAATGCCGGATCAGAGGGGCAAGAAGAGGTTGGTGACGAGCTTCCAGGTGGAGTGGGAGGGGTATGAGGATTGGTGGGAGCCGCGCAGGTGGGATGAGAACGGGGACCCGATCCCGCCGGACAGTGAGAAGGAGAGTGAGTTGAGGGATGTGGTGTACCCGAGAATAAAGCGGACGGAGCCGGAGGAGAGGGTGTTTTGTTGGCCGATGAGGTTGGGGAAGCCGTATGGTCCTTATTGGCAGTCCATTTGAGGGATTTGGTGGGTTGGGTGCTCCGCTGTTTGTTGGGGAAGTGGCAAGCTCCTGCAGCTCGCTTGGCTACATGTTGAGTGAGATGCTTGGAGGAGCATTGCATGGAGAAGCATAAGCGAATGCATGATTGCATGACAGGAGGGTTATAGCGTGGCGTCTTGGAGCTTTTGCTTTACAGGATATGGTGGGATTGGACTCTTGCATCACAGGAACAGATTTGTTTGATGGAATCAAACATGCGTCGGGTTGCGGGCATGCAATATAGAGAAAGGGTGACATCTTGCATCATTCGCTCTTTCCGTCACTTATCTGATCAGTTATTGCTCAATTTCAGGGATTCTTCCGACCGCCGTTCGATCAAATGGCAGGACTTAAAAAGACAGTTGCGTTGTAGGCTTGGAGGCTTTGGGTGGTAACCGCGGGTAAGCGTAAGGAACCACCACAAATACGAAGGTCTCGACGAAAGTAGACGGAATGAATGGATTCGTTCAGATATCTTCATAGATCAGCAGTCTCACGAGAACTTATCTAGTGATCCTCCACGAATGCCACTTTTTCATCCCCGTTTGCCCTTGCCATTCATGTTGTCCCTTTCCTTCTAACCTCGCTGAGGGGCCTCTGCAGAGATACAAGAAGCCGTTGCAGTGACTGCTGTGTCGTGTTTGTATGTTGGCCGGTGCCTGAAAACAGATGCTGGGTACTTGAAGCCATAGCTGTGTGGTCGCTGGCTTTCGAAGTCATGGTGCACTTGTTTCACTACCTCCTAGCCCTCCATCACCTTACCCACCGAAGTCTGAATAACACCAGCCTGACATACAGCAGTGCCTGGTGAAATCAAGAAAGAAACTGACTGAAGCAACAGGTTATGGGATATTCCAAACTCACGGTGACCTTGTGCCCAGCTCAAAGATAGATTGATGTGAGTTAGTCCGTATGTCCCCGGTATTCTTCCACCACTGCGTCCCGCTAGTTGTGGCCTTTTGTTGACAGAACCAGGCACGACCGTTGGGCGTTCATGATGATTAAAGGGTTTGTCTGTCTATGCCCGGCTCTACCTACCTAAGCAACTGGTATCCCTGAAACAAAAGTCGGCAATTTGTACGCGCTGTCTGTACCTCAAAAAGGATGACAAATGGACAACTTTTGCGGCGACCCATGAAAGCAACCAAGAGTTCCTGAGCAAATGATTTCTATGATGGATCGAAACCTAGCACCATTCCTTGGCTGTACTTATGGCATGCTCACCACCTACGTTCACATAGAGTCAGTTCCTTAGGAAAGCTTCTGGGATGTTTGCATCTACTACCCCTTTCATCTTGCTCAAATGGTATGCTGATCTACCTTCACGGTATAGACATGATTTTCAGTAGTACTGAGTTTAGCGATGACTGGATTCTTCAATTGCTAGTCCACAGCAACACTGCCAATGAATGGCTCATGGAGGCAAACACCTCAGGAGACTTGATCTATAAAAGAGCTCCCTCCCCTTGGCCCATCAATATCAAAATGGGAATCTACTAAAAGGGCACCAACACCCCCATTAACAACTCCTTTCACCAGAATAGGTACTCAGTCCCTAGTCCGTATTAACTAGAGAGCGAGGAGATGAACAACCCACCGCATGGCTTACACGACCCCTTTTTGCTCCATGCACCACCCTTTAAGTACGCGCACCAACCTCTGGATTAATTTGCAGACTCAAAGTAAACTAAAAGATTTTGAATTGCATTAGGGCGTGTTCGTTCCGGCAGTAGTACAGTAACGGAAGCATCTTTTTGGTGGCAGAGAAGCTTTGGGTTAGGGTTAGAACAGATTCCCTTACTGCACTACTGCCAGCACGAACACGGCCTTACTTTCGCGGATAAGGAGTTTCTAGTTATAATTCAGTGTTCCAGCTTTTTTTTGAGGTTAGAGGTACCTCGCTATACCCGAAATACTAGTAAAACCATCCACGTCCGGGCCTGGTGACCCGATTCAAAGCTATTCCATTGTTCTTTCTTTGCAACAAAGGGAACTAATACTTTAAGAGGCACTTCTAATGTGATGGAAGTTACTACGTCGCAACTGAAGAGACTTACAGCCTCCGATCCATGAGTGGTGCGATGTTCAAATTTGGTCGCCCGGGGGGGAGGGGGGGGGGGGGGGGG